GGCGCGGCGCGGCGGCGGGAGCAAAGGGGGCCGCGGGCGAGTGGGCGCGTGCTGCGGCCGCTGACGCGTCGGCAGCCCCAGCCACGGCGCTTTCACAGCGGTTCTGCTGCGTGTGCACGGCCCCGCTCCCGCCCTCAACTGTAGAGCCAGCCCCGCTTGACGATGCAGACATCCAATACATTGCTCCCATCACGGGCCCCGCCGCCGCGGCAGCGGCTGCGGCGCGTGGTCTGTGCTACAGCTGCGACCGATACGTCTTGCAGCCACTCGCAGCCGAGGGCGGCCGAGGGGCTGGGGCGGCGCTGGCGCTGCTCGGAGAACTGCTGCCGCCGCAGAGGCGGTGACGGCTGCGCCGTTCTTCTTGTGTGGAGTGCCTTTTGCTTGTTCCTACTCGTGCCTGTGCAGTGCTGCCAATGCACACATGCATATGATGGCGCCCTACTACAAGTTATTGCTCACATCCTGCATGGCACTGCTTTACAGAGCGGGCTAGCCATGAACGGTTCTGCATGTTTGCGCCAATACACGCGCGTGTATGTGGGTGTGTGTTATGTGGTGATAGGCGCGCGCATTGCGCGTGCGCTTGTGTGTGTGGTGTGTGGCTGTCAGCTTGATTTGTCATGTTCAACTTCTGCGACAAAGTCGTGTGACGAGGTTGCAGTGTATATATACACAGTGTATATACAGGAGCAGGCAAAATCAACCAGCGAGACCATGTGTCCCTTTGTCTTTTGTGTCATACTTGCCAGCTGGTTGTGCACTTTTCCTTTATACAGACATTGTAACCCGCTTATCCACTCCCTAAGCAAGGTTGCTGCTAGCACAGTAGCATTTCGACCAGGCTGCAGCCTGCCGAGCACGCTGACCAGCAGGCATTGCTGCTGCAGCTGCTGCTGCTGCTGCTGCTGCTGCCGCTGCTGCTGCCGCCGCTGCTGCTGCTGCTGCTGCTGCCGCCGCTGCTGCTGCTGCTGCTGCCGCTGCTCCTGCTGATGCTGCTGCTGCGACAGCGGCTGCTACGGCTGCAAATGCGGCTGCTGCTGCGGCTGCTGCTCAATGGTTGGGCCTGTGGGCGTCGTGCAGGAAGAGCAGAGCAGATTGCAGCAGCAGCAGCAGCAATGGCACCTGGGTACAGCCTTGTTCACGCACAACTGTGCTTGATGCTGCTGCTGGATTCTAAACTTCATTGGGGGTCGTTGATGCTGGATGTGGTAGATAGCATGGTGGTTGGAAGCGTTGCAGCAAACGGGCTGGGGGATGTGCTTGCAGGTGCATCTTTGGCTGGGGCGGCACACAGTTTTCCGTGCGGCTCCCCTTTGCCGCGGCGGCGCGCGCGGCAAGGCTCCATGCGACTCTTGCGTGTGGGAGCTGGTTGTGGTTCTGGGCGAGGGGCCGGCACAGCGGAGGGTGCCCTGGTCAAAGTAAGCTCTGCTCTCCACTGTTGCCTTGGCGGCCTTCAAGCCCAGCAGGGCCAATATGGCCTGAACCATCCGCACACAAACCGAGTGGATTCATAATGCAGGTGTAACGCCGTGCCATGCTGCATGTGAGCCGCATATCCCCGCGAGGGAGCCTGCATGTTTCAGTTGCTCAGCTATCGTCGGGGCTCCGGCACGGTATGCAACACGCGTGAGCTTCGAGTGACCTCGAACTCATTCATCTCGGAATCATGCACATGCACGCATTTCAATAAGGCGACGCCCGCCTCGCTGCCAGTTTGGACAAGGAGATTGCAGCTTTTGCAGCACGCATGCAAGCCTGTCCTCATCCCAACCAGCAACAAATGCCTTCTTGAGCCGCTTTGGTATCTGAGAACCGCGTGCGTCTCGATTACACAGAAGCAGAACAGCGACACGTACAAACCATGGCCCACCGGGCCTGTACAGCTTGAATAGAGGAACTGGAACCTTCTATGTTAGTGGTTGGTGCGGCGTTTCAGCAGAAGGTAGGCTTGGCAAAGATGGTGCATGCTGGTGGGGTGTTTTCTGGCGGCCTGGAAGTATGGAGCACGGAAGTACAGCTTGTTGGTCGATTTACAGCTAAAGCTGCTGCTCTGCTCCCCTGCCACGACCACAACCCGTCTCGGCGCCTTTCGTTTTCGCTCAGGACGCCGTGGAGGCACACTTCCAGCGTTCCCTGCAGCTGGGTGATGGCGAACCAACGCTGGCACCGTTCGCTATGTTCGCCGCCGCTGGCACAGCGGCGACGGAGCACCAGCAGCAGCACCAGCAGCAGCAGCAGCAGCACCAGCAGCAGCAGCAGCAGCAGCAGCAGCAGCAGCAGCAGCAGCAGCACCTGCAGCAGGCGAGCCCGACGGCGGCACGGGCGTTAGAGTTGCTGCTCCATAGGCAGCATCAGGAGCAGACGCACCTGCAGGATGCTGCTGCGCAAAATAAAGAGGCGGTGGATCATGGCGGTTGCGGTCGCACCCCCGGGATGCGTTTCAGCTCAACCTCCAGTGCGGCGCCCACTGCTGCTGGGCCTGCCGCAGGAGCAGTGGGCGCAGCGCCGCCACTGCCCCAGCGGCCGCCACTCCCGCCGCAGCTCGCCCTGCTGACCAGCGTGAGCGCCAGCCTGCAGGAGCAGCTGCAGCTGCATGCTCACCACGGCGGCTGCAACTATGAACTAACGCGTCACAGCACCTGCAGCAGCGTGGGCACGTGCAGCGATGACGACGCGCCCTCGGCCCCCAGCAGCGGCAACCTCAGCGCGGCTGCGGCGGCGGCGGCTGCGGCGGCAGCGGCGGCCAGCGCGAGTGCAAGTGCAGCGCCGTCGACGCCCGCGGGGGAGTCGCGGTGCGTGTCGTTTGCAGCGGCGGGGTGCGGCAGCGGCGGCGGCAGCAGCAGGCGGGCGTCGCTCCTGAGCGACCTGGCGCGCGCGAGCCGGCGGGGATCGCAGGCGGACGGCGGCAGCCCCACCTCCGGCCGGCAGGTGCGCCCAGGCTGTGGGGCCGCTTCAAGCTCGCGAGCTCGTGAGACCTGCTTCGCCAGGTCGCAAGGCGCCATCGTGGCGGCCGAAGGGCCAACGTCGCGCGCCTGGCGGACCGCGCCCCGCGCCTCGCCTCGCCTCCCTCCCGCCTCCCTCCCGCCGCCGCCACGCCCACCCCGTGCGTGCTCGCGCGCCTCCTTCCCGCCATCATGCAGGAGGAGGAGGAGGCGCCACCCCCCTGGTGGTGTTCCAGCTGGTCGTACGGCGTCCACCAGGAGCAGAACCGGCGGCGCCACATGGAGGACCGCCTGGCGGCGCGCGACGTGGCGGGCATGGCGGCCTTTGCCGCGTTCAAGCGCGCGGGGTTCTTTGCCGTGTACGACGGGTGAGGGCGGCGCGGCGCGGCGCGGCGTGGGGCGGGCGCGGGTGTAGGGCGCGGCTGTGGTTGCGGGCGCGGCTGGGGTTGCGGCTGCGGGGAGGTTGCCTGACTGCGCCGCTCGGGCGCTTGCGTGCTGAGGGATGCCGGCAACGGCGGCGAGCCTGCCTTTGAGCGTTGAGCCCCCCGCCCTCACGCACAAGCGGGCACGTGTACACCACATACACACACACACACGTGCACACACACACACACACACGCACACACACGCACACACACACACAAACACACACACACATGCACACACATGCGCGCCCACGCACGCACGCACACACACACGCATCCACACTGTCTTTGCCAAACCCCCACTCACCACCGCCCCCAACCCGCAGCCACTCTGGCGCGGAAGCTGCCCAGTACCTGCAGGACCACCTGCTGCAGTACCTGTCAGAGGTGCCCCCCGCCGCCCTCGCCGCCGCCCCCGGCGCTGCCCTCGGCGCCGCCGTCGAGCGCGCCGAGTCCGAGATCCTCCGCCTGTTTTCCGCCGCGGCCTGCAACGCCGGCAGCACGCTGCTGGCCGCGCTGCTGCTGGACGACAAGCTGCACGTGGCCAACGTGGGCGACAGCCGCGCGGTGCTGGCGCGGGGCGCCGACGCGATCCAGATCACGACGGACCACAAGCCGTGCGACGAGGCCGAGGCGGCGCGCATCGCGCGCGAGCACGGGCTGGCGTCGCCCACCTGGACGGACGCGAGCGGCGGCGACGCAGACGATGTCAGCAGCGGCGGCGGCGGCGGGCCCGAGGCGCCGCTGCCTCCGGCCGCCGCGGCGGCGGTGGCGGCGGGCGGGTCGGTGGTCTCGAGCGACGGCTACCTGTACGGCGAGCTCGCCGTCGCGCGCGCGATCGGCAGCCAGCACCTGAAGCGCGACCCCACCAAGCGCGCGTTCACGCACCACCCGGACATCCATAGCGTCCAACTGGCGCGGGAGGACGACATGCTGCTGCTGGCCACCGACGGGCTGTGGGACAAGGTCGACAACTCGGAGGCGGTCACGGCGGCGCGGCGGTGCCTCGCGCGGGAGAAGGACGCGGGCGCGTGCGCACGGGTGCTGGCGGACCGCGCGGTGCGGCACGAGAGCTTGGATAATATCTCGGTGGTGGTGGTGTGCCTGCACGACCGCGGCGTGTCGCTGCCCAAGACCAACAGCATGCTGTTCCGCCGGCTGCAGGCCGGCAGCGGCTGCGCCGCGGGCGGCGGCGGCGGCGGCAGCGGCGGCGGCGGGGGCTGCGGCGCCGACGGAGCCAGCAGGCCGGCGACGCCTGGGGGGAGTGGGGGCGCGACGCCGGCGCCGGCGGGGTCGCCGAGCGGGGCGGGGCCGGGGTCGCGGTGCGAGACGCCGCCGTGCTAGGGGCCGCGCGTGCCCGGCTCCTCGCATCATCTGATGTCGCGGCCCGCAAGGACTGCCACCCCCTCGTGCTCCTTGTGAGTTTTGTGAGGCTCTACGCGGGGTGGCGCGGCCGAGGGCGCGGCGCGCAGCACGGCGTGGCTCGCGCCTGGCAGGCGCATGGCCATGGAGGCCCACGCCCGAGAAGACAACACTTATGTCACAATCCGAGCAGCAAGAGCCTCAAACCGCCGCTCCATAATTCCAAGCCGCCATTCGCACAGTGTCTGACCCCGAGACAATTATGTCATGCACCTGTCTGCACGCGTCTGGCCCAACGCCCTACCGGAACACACAGCCGTCGAGCGAAGCGCGGCCCAGGGCCGCCTGGCCCGCCGCGCCCCATCCACCCTTTGCTGTCTTGCCCGGACGCAGGCCACCACGGGCCCCTTTCCTGGGTGCGTGTCTTCGTGCGTGTGTGTGTGTGTGCGTGTGTGTGTGCGTGTGTGTGTGTATGTGTGTGTGTGTGTGCGCGCACGCCTACCGCGGCAGTGCACAGATCGCCCAAAGCGCACGGCATGCGGTGCTAGGCGGCGGTCTTGCCGCGGCGCGCCGCGTGCGTCAGCAGGACACGGCGCAACCACCGGCGGCGCCAAGCGCGCCGCTGCGCTGCAGGCGCGCGAGCGTTTTTCTCCACAGCAGAGGGTTTCCTCCCCTCTCCCTGTGCCGCCAGCGGTGCCGCCACCCACCATTCAGTGACGCCCAGTTCCCAGGGCCGCCTCAGCCCCCTAGACTGCAGGGCCCCCTTGCAGTGCGGGGCTTTTTGAGTTGCGCATCTCCCCAACTCCCATTGCATTGTGCGGAACATGGGCAAAGTGGCTGGGGGTGCGGTCTGCTCCGTGCCTGTCTTACCTCGGCTGCTGCAACGATGCACGCCGCAAATTATGGGACGCACGGTGCAAGAGCCGCCTGAGCCCCTCCATGTGTCGACAAATGTGTGCCGTGCACGCACGCACATGCACGCCCACACGCGTGCTGACTTGTCAGATGTGTTGTGTACCTTTGTTGTGGGGGGAGGCCAGGCGGCGTTGCAGTGTATAGTGTGCCCTCGTTTTTCTGTGTATTTTGCGTCTTTCATACTGCCGTCCCCCCACCGTTTGTTCACATGCCTCAGTACCTTCATGCGGCCAGGGAACTTGCCTTTTACTACACACATGTTCAGTAAATGAAAATCTGTTTTGATTCACTTTGCAGCCTTTCTCACCGACCTCGCCACCTGTGTGCCGGCCTGTTTTTTGGCCACCATCGGTCAATGAGTCGAGCACAGGAGCGCGGCTGACAGCAGTTATGGCCAGCAAAGTTGACGTCATCAACAACACCACCATAAACGAGCACAAGTGGTGGTGGTTACGGTTCTTTGACGCCCAACTGCTGCTTGCAACATACAGGAAGAGTATGGTCGTATGACACAGGGCTGTGTGCAAGTACGCAGTGCTGCTGAGCACCGGGACATGCTCTTGTCTCGCGCGACACAGCCATATTGGGACGCACGCACGTACACCGTAGTGCAGGTGGGGGGCAGTGATAAGGTTTACACACACATTCGGACAGCCGTGCATCTGCCAACTTCATGATACAAGCCACGGTGGCGCCTTCGAGCCTTCTGATATGTACAGTATGTCCGATGAACGAGCCCAAAAACGGTGATGACCACGGCGCATTAGGATGATCATGATACATCATTTCAATCCTCATTACGCTGCATATCCGCACAGCCTGGCTAGATCACCGGACACTCAAATCGCGATTCTTGCTCTCTCAGACGCTGAGCCTGGTTGTGAAGGTAGTTGGGTATAATTGTACGCTGATTCACCGTGTTGAAGGCCTGAGGCAGCACACTGAACGTGCGCGGAGGCGTTTGGCGGTGGCGTGCGCATTGAGCAGCAGCGGCAGCAGCAGCGGCAGCAGCAGCGGCGCAGCAGCGCGCCTCTCCGGCTTGCCAAGATGTTCGGGAAGCAGAAGCCAGGTGAGCAGGAAATATAGAAGCGAATACGCACATGTCCACAAAGCATAGAAGCCGTGGCTGACCCCGTGTCCAGTGGAAGTGCGCCGCACATGCAATAAACCGCCGTTGCGCAAGAGTCGAGGCGCCACAGTCCTTTGGAGCAGCTCCAGCTTATATGCCCCATTTGCATAACACCTGAGAGGGCACAGATCTCAGACATTAGCTTTTGCAGGCGCAATTTGAGGTAACTCTCTGCCGCTTCCACTTCCCATTCCACCATCTAGCCCTGCTGTCCATCGTGCCCACCCCCACCCCGCCCTCGCCGCAGGCGCCGACTCTGGCGGCGGCGGCCGCCGCAACACGCGCTCGCGCAAGGTGTCGCAGCGCATGGCCGTTGTCGATGAGTCGTCGCGGAAGCAGGCGGTGCAGGCGCGGCTCGACGCGCTGGAGGCTGACAACAACGAAGCGCAGGACCCTTTCGGGCTCGGGGAGGACGACGACGACGAGTTCATCATCGCATCAGATGGGGATGAAGGTGGGCGGGGGCATGGCAGTGGCGATCGTGGAAGGAGGCAAGGGGATGATGGACGCCAAGGCTTGCGGGCCGCTCAGGTGGCTGCGCTGCTCGACCACGCTACGCATCCGTGCGTGCCAGCCCCGAGACCGTCGCAGCCACATGCCATGACGCGCGCGCGCCCGTCGCACACGCGCTCGCGCCGCCGCAGAGCTGGAGTTGGGCGGCAAGCGCAAGCGCAAGGGGGCTGGCGGCCCCAAGCGCAAGACGCGCGCGATGAAGGCGGACAGCAAGGTGCCCAAGACCTTTGCAAGGCTCCTGGAGGACGTGAGCAGCGGCTAAGATCTTGCTGGGTTGGGGCTGCTCTTGCTTAAGATTCTTTGGAATGCATGTGAAATAAGGGCAAGACGAGAGAATTCTGTCGCGCGGCGCGCGGTCGTCCATTGCATGCGATAGAGGGGTTTGAGCTGTGACGGGCTTTGCCCAGGACCGCAGAGCAGCTGCAAGGAGATAGAAAAGCTGCAGGTGGCTGTCTGTACGGGGTGCAAATGCAGCACCAAGCGCGACACAATGAGTATGCAGCCAGGACTGGCACCTGTGGCTTGGCAGGCTCTCGTCTCACCATACGCACACGCGCATCCTGCTGCAGAGCGGCATCGAGTCGGCGCCCTCTGGCGTGCCGACCTACCTCACAGCGGCGGTCGGCCCAACCACTCTGCACGCGGCGCGCAAGTTCTGCACTGTCTGCGGCTTCGAGTCACCGTGAGCGCTGCCAATCACCAAATTGAACGCTGCTATGCATGCTGGCGAGCCCTGGTTGCCATCGTCACTTGTTCTGTGGGTCAACCCGGCCACTCGTTTGTTGTACTGAAACTGATGCCACCACATCGCGCTGACAATCGCCCTTCTCATCGCCCCCCCACCGCCCAAAACAGGTACACCTGCTCCCGTTGCGGCTCGAGATTCTGCAGCAAGCGTTGCTACGTAGTGCACACAGAGACGCGCTGCCTCAAGTTCATATCTTGATGTGACAGGCGCTGTCTTCTGAGTCAGACAGTCACGCCATCGCATCTGCTGGGCAGTCTGTTGCTTGTACATATCGTGCATGATTGCGCCAATCCCAACTCAGCCCTGCAATATGGGCCAGATGTTGTAGCTAATTTTGGCTTGATCAGGTGTGCCGTCATTTTCCTCTTGTCACCCCCCGTTGTTAGTAGGAGTCAATCATGTGCCTGCTGAGCTGAGTGAACTTGCCTGCTGCATCCAAGTCCCATGCTGGTCAAGCTTGGGGATACAACGTTGGAGATACACACTGCATCCAGAATCACTAAGGTTACAAGAGGGACCCACAAAGTTCGTAATTTTGGCAACAGCCACGGGTGTGGACTGCCACTGGTGCAGTCAAGGCCATGGAAGCATGCAGGCCACGCAAGGGCAGGTGCAAGGGATGGCCAGACTGGCGGCCCTGGATCGCCACCCTAGCCCCAGCTCCTGCATGGTCAGTGCCCGCCACTCGGCTGCACGAGCGGGTTTAGATGAGCCAGGTACACGATTGTCCACCTGCAGGGCGGGGTGCAGAACAACCAGGCGTGAGCGAGCTCGCTGCACTTGGGTTGGGTGCACACAATCAGTTCCTGCTGCGTGCATGCACTTGCTGCAGCCAGTCAACACACACCAGGCAACCGCTGTGACGCGATTCTGCACAGCAGCTGTATGAGCAATCGCCTGCTGATGCATAGGGCAGCGGATTCCTGCGCCACCAGCCCGCTCAGGTGCGCCCAGTCCACGCTGTGCACAGTCCGCTTGTCAGGGGTTGATTCCCCCACTCACATGAACCAGCACTGCACCACAGATGTGACTGCCAAGATGTGGGGAAGCCTGGGGCGTGGGGCGAGAGAGTTGCGGCAAAGTGGGGTTTCGAGGCGATCCCCGCCATGCACGTGCATGCCGCGACCAACGGCGTGTGGGCGCCCCGCTATGTGCACGCCCTTGCCCCGGCTTACCCCCTGCTTGTCTTTTTGCTGAACGCGTTGATGCTGAGCGTCACAATGACCTGGATCGCAAAGAAGCAGAGGGTCCCCAGCCAGTACCCCTGCGCGGCAAGAGGGACGTGATGGCGCGTTACCCTGGCGCCACGGCACGAGTGTGTGGGCGACACGAGCATCGCCACGCCCTACACCTACGCCTGTGGGCCTGACAGCGCCTTTCTTCTCTATATGCGGTCTGTGCACAACTGCAGAGCCCTGACATAGCCAAGGATCATTGGCAAGAACCCCTGCGCACCATGCCGGCTACTGCGTCAGGCCGATCGCCTGTAGAGGGCTAAAATTTCCAGGTTTCGTGTCCACTCCAGCGCTGATCAGACGACGCTAACAGATCGGACTCAAGCCCTTGGCTGATTCAACGAGCATCCCAAGGACAGGAAGAACATGAAAGTAACGTTGGCTCAGCTTACCGTGATGGCATCGGCTGACCTTGAGGTGCCACGCCTGCAGTGCAGGTGGCAGCTGCTGCGGCGCACGAGCGTCATGAGATTACTCAAGGCAGAGGGCGCAGCGACTAGGCTGATGTCCCCAAGGTATGCAATGCTCACAGATGTTGCGTGTTGCAATGGCTGAGCTACTTCCTCTTCTGAGTGACAGTGAGCTGAACTGCGCTCGGTGCAACATCTCTTGCACAACAGCTCGCTCAACACACTGGTGCAAATAGGAGCGGAGCGTGGGCTGTATGATAATCAAAGAGAGGAAAGCGGGCGGGACAAAACACAAGTGATAGTTGAGTTGCTGGATATATCCATCATACTCTGTGGCAACCCAGGCGGCCCTTGCAGCAAGCGAGGTGATGCCCACCCACCAGTTGCAAACGTGCCGCAGCTCCTACATGCGAGTGAGTGTGCGCGCGACGCTCTGCAGTTGGTCGTACTCTTGTCGCGTCATCATTGACCTACAGAGACAGCTATGCACCGGCTTGTGCAAACGCATGCCAAAGCTCAGCCTGCATGCTGTGGTGGCTGGTCAACTCGTCCCAGGTTGACAGTCAAGGATGTCACTGGGTGCTAGCCAGCAGGCAGCATGGCTGAAAAACCGGCCATGTATGCCCGGCTGCCATAGGCGAGCAGTTTGCGTCACTGCTTGTCACTAGCAGCCACGCTGCCACGCTGCTGGTGCATGTACCACATGATGCCCGGCCAAGTGTTCAGGCAAAAATAAATTTATTTCAAAGTTCATGTAATATCACCTCGTCATGCGCCTCGAATGCAGATGACCCTAGCAGCTTGATCTTGAAACGTGCGACGGCTGCAATGGACCCGGCCTGGGATGCGTGGGTCAATGGTACGCTACAGCAGCTTGATGACCGGCACCTGACGCGCGTGTTGCGGCCGCTAATGCCAACGCAGTCAGCGGTCGAGGTGCGTGCGCCGCTGGGCCGCAACAATGAAGCAACAGCCCGAGCCGCGCCCGAGTGCTGATGCTGCACCGCAAAATTGGAGCCATTGCACACTGTGCGTATGAGTTAAAGCTGTGCCAGCGCATGCCGCATTGCTGCTTGGATGCATGGCCGCCTGTTGACGGCGAGGCCAAATGCCGCCGTGCCCGGCCCATTACTGATTTTGCGGCAGGAACAGCTCACCCCACTGCCGCTCGCTCGGCCGTGCAGGCAGGCATACATTCGCAGCAGCTGGATGCTTGGCTCCAGGGCGCACCGGCCTGCGACGAGCCCGGCAGCTTGACGGGCCTCCAGGCCGGCGCTGCGGCGCTGGGCGCAGCCAGCATCAGCACCGGCAGGGGGCAGAGCGGTGCTCCGCCCCCCCACCTGAACTCCAGGCAGCAGCAGCAGCAGCAGCAGCAGCAGCAGCAGCAAGAAGGGCAGCCCAGATTACAATTGTTTGGTTTAAATGACTACTTGGGGCTGTCCACCCATCCCGACGTCTGCAGGGCGGCGGCGGAAGCGGCGCTGGCGGTGAGGCGCGCGCACGCACCACAGCCACGCGCCGTGTGGGACCTGGGGCTTGCTCGGAAGCGGTTGTGCGGCGCCTGGGTCGGCTCTCTTCTAGCCAGTCATGACGTATCAGTCCTGCAGACCTGATTCGCAATGGGGATGCTGATGCACGCAGCAGCAAGAGGATTTGCAGTACTCTGCGGGGCCCGTCCCACGCGTGCTTGCAAGCGGCGCCTTCAACCTGCACACTCCCACCTGTCGGTCACCCCCGCCCCGCCGGCGCCACCGCGCAGACGGGCATGGGGCCGCGGAGCAGCGCGCTGGTGTGCGGCTGGACGCGCGAGCACCGGCTGCTGGAGCTGGAGATAGCGCGGCTCAAGGGCACCCAGGACTGCCTGCTGTTCCCGACAGGTGCGGCATTGGGCCCGGTGCAGGGGAGGGGGCGCCCCGCGCGGTGGGCGCGAGGGACCGTCTGCTTCGGGCTTCGGACGGGCAGCGGCCGAGGCCGGGTCCGGCGTTGTGGGGGGCCGGGGGTGGTGACCTTGGATCAGGAGCAAGGCCTGAGGGTCCTCAACCAACTGCTCTGTCAATCAAAGGCGTTGGGAGCCTGCCGCGTTGTCCTGCTACTCAACCCGCTTCCAGTCCCCAATTCATCTCCCCTGTTGCACGGGCGTCGCGGCACCACACCCTCAAAAGGCTATGCGGCCAACATGGCTGTGATGACGGTGCTGGCGGCCGCGGGCAGCAGCAGCAGCGCTGGTGGCAGCGGAGGCCCCAGCTCACAACATCATCCCCACCATAATCATCATCAGCAGCAGCAACAGCAGCAGCAGGCCACCAGCCCCGAGGTCGTTATATTCAGCGACGAGCTCAATCACGCTTCAATTATTGACGGAGCCCGGCTTGCGGCGCGCGGCGGCGGCGCCGTGCGGCTCGAGGTCTACCGCCACAGCGACCTGTCGCACCTCGAGCAGCTGCTGAGAAGCTGCCCAGCGGGGGCAAGGACGCTGGTGGTGACGGATGGCCTGTTCTCGATGGATGGAGACTTTGCTGACCTCAGGGTGAGCGCTGTGTGGGGCTGCCAGATGGTGGGGGTTGGGCCCAGGGGTGAGAGTGAAGCTATATCGAAGTAGGAGGCTCAGGCGAGCTTGAGAGGGGCTCAGGCGGCTGGCAGCTGCGCAGACAGCGCGAGAGTGGGGGCCCTGGATGAATCAGCTGGCGCAGCAGCCCCCATGAGGGCTGCCTTTGTGATGCACGAGGTCCGCAAGGGACCCAAGGGCGCGCGGCAACGCGCCCCTTGAATCCCTGCTGTAATGACTCACAATATTCCCACGGAGGGCTTTTCCACCGTCTTCCATCCTCTCTTCTTCGACCCCTCCCCTTGCCAGGGCCTGGCGCGCCTGCGGCGCCGCTATGGGTTCCTCCTGGTTGTGGACGACGCCCACGCCACCCTGGTCTGCGGCGAGCACGGCGGCGGCACCGCCGAAATGCAGGGCGCGTCGGCCGCGGTGGACGTGCACGTGGGGACGCTCAGCAAGGCGTTCGGCTGCCTGGGCGGCTTTGCGGCGTGTAGCTCGCGGCTGCGGGCGCTGCTGCTGAACCGGGGGCGGCACGTGATCTTCTCGACGTCGCTGCCGGTGCCGGTCGTCGCGGCGGCTCGGGCGGCGCTGCGGGTGGCGCAGAGGTGGGCGGGCGGGGGCAGGTCACTGCCACCCTGCATATGGACTCACCGAAAACGAAGATTTGGCGTCTGCAAAACTGTTTTTCTGTGCTGCATACAGAAGTTTGCACATTCCATGTTTGACCTCGCAACAGCTCCTTGTAAACCCCACACCCCCATTCACAATACGCTCGTCCCTTGCCCCACCAGGGAGTCGTGGAGGCGGCGCCACGTGTGGGACCTCGTGACTCGCCTCTCATCCCGTGTCGGCGTCCCCGCCCACAGCCCCGTCATCCCGCTGGTCATCGGCCTGGAGGCGCCCACCATGGAAGCTGCCCGGCAGCTGCTCGCCCAGGGCTTCCACGTGGGCGCCATCCGGCCGCCCACGGTGCCGGAGGGCACCTGCCGACTGCGCGTCAGCCTGTCCGCGGCGCACTCCTTTGCTGACGTGGACGCTCTGGCGGACGCTCTGCTGCGGTGCCGCGCGGGCGCGGCCGCGTGGGCGTTTGTGCGGCTGCCGCACCTGCTGCTGCCCGCGCCGTGGACGCGGGAGTGGCGGCGGCAGCAGGGGCGGCTGGACGGGGTAGGGCTGGGTGACGACGACGAGGAGGCTGGTGGGGCGGCCGCGGGCTTCGCTGCAGTCAGCTCTGGGCCCTGGCAGCCAGCACGCTCCCGGCTGTAGGCTGTGCATCCTGCAGTCTTGCTTCCCAAATTCTTCATTATTTTGAGCTCTGAATTGCGTGCTTTTGAGCGTACCCCTCTGAGCTGTACTGGTGTGTAAGCCCATTTTGGCTGAAAGCAGCTCAGGCCCATGATGGCTGGACCACTCACAAGTGCATATTACATATATTGCACGAGAGTTCAGCCCTTGGCATCAAGGTCGCGGCGCGGGGTTCAAGGGGGATCAGCATTTATTCATATCGGCCTGCTCATCAGCAGGCGCTGCACTGTGGGTGCGTGGTGTTTTGTGTGCCTGCAGCGGCAGGGGTCCTGGGTATCACCAGAAAAAGCTGCGGGCAGATTGTAGGGTACATGTGGTGATAGGAGCAGACACGGGCGTGATGCTGCGAATTAGCATGCTCCATCCTTCCACCCCATTAACTAAACTGCTTCCGGCATGACAGTTGAGCGTATTAAATTGGCGAGGCGGCAATATGGTGGGGTGCCGTCAAACACCTTCTCCCCAACAACAGCTTTCTCCAAAACGCATAGCCTCAGCAAGCACACTGATAAGCAGCCAGAGACGGAGGTTTGACCAGCGGCAGGAGGAGCAGAGGTGCTCGGGACAAAACCTCAGCCATTCGGCCTGCCCGCTTCCAACACACCACAACTCGGACGGGGTGCAAACAAGCCAGGACGTGTGCACGTCAGGGTTCAGAGCACATGCAAGCAGGACACAAGGGCGGCAGCTGTGGGCGGAGGGACACTCACCCCAGCCACGCCCCCGACGCGCGGGTGTACTAGACTGATGGCAGAGACCAAATAAAAAGCGAGCCAGGAAGGTGGAGCGACACCACGCAGCATCTGACCGCAGACTACGGCTTGCTGTTGCGCCGCGACCCTTGGTCTTCCCATGCATGGTCGTTGTCTGCATAAGGTGTTCTGGTGGAAAGTGCAGAGCCTGGAGACACGCGCGCAGGAAATCGCCAATCTTCCATGGGCAAGGCGCTGCATCGAGTCGGCGCAGCGCAGTGATGGTTGTTGGGAGCCCAAACCCTGCCTCCCAAACGCCCGCCCTACCCCATCAGTGCCCCCTGCGGAAAACCTCCGCCCCAGACAACTGTGAGAAAGGTGCAAAGAGGAGGAGATTTCAAAGCACAATACGAAATGAGGCATGCGGCACCAGGTAACACGGGTGGCCGCTTGCCAGGAGGACGAGCGGATGACGCAAGAAACACGTTGCGTGCAACAAGCCCGGTGCTGGGGCTGCCTGGAGCTGGGCTCGTCGGCGCTGGCAGCACTGCTCTGCAAAGGTGTCATACGTATCGCATGCATGTGTATTATAGGATCGTGTCTTGAGTAGCAGTCATGTGCATGGGGCCGAGGTTTTGCCACACTTGTGACTTGCAGGATCAGGGCGTATGGAGCGCCCATGTGAGGCGCCAGGTGGCAGTGCCTCTTGAGGTGGCTGCAGGCAGCAGGAGCCAGCTGCACGAGGGCAGCTGCCGTGAAGCTGCTGGCTGGAGATGAGGCTGGCCAAAGGGTAGCCAGCAGCAGAGCTGGGGACGACACGTGCAAGGGTAGGACGGCGGCAGTTCAGCGTCTGCAAGGGAAATAGGATGCCAGACACGGGTTTGCCAGGGCATGCATCCAGCCCGCAGAGGAGGGGGGGGGGGCGGCATTGGTGCCAATGCACCGAGGGTATGGGGTACAGGTGCTTGCCGTCTGGCTGCGCGCCGCGGGCATGATGTTGCGCGCCATGATGTAGCAAGGTGACGAAGAAGACCCAGCCCCTTGGAGGGGCGGCACGCCAGACCTGCCACAATGCAAAACCGGCACAGCTTGCTTGGTGCATGACACAGGCATCGATCCGAGGCGAGGGGTGGGCGAGGGTGCATTGACTGCTGCGCCACGTACATCAAGTGTGGCATTGCGCGGAAGCAGCTTCACCAAAGGCACACAGTGGGCACGGTGCGTGTGGACGGCCAACACACGTCAACGCTTTCACAGCAATTCGTTCAAGCGCCGTCCCTCGCTCAGTGGCTTCGCCAGTCGTACTGTACCTAGTGGGGTGCAGCAGGGCGACACTTCTCAACAACTCTGCGCCACGCGGGCGTGCGGCAACGCCAAGCACGTGGGGTGCACCCTGGGTGGGTGGGGCGGAGGCGCGCGCACGCGTGCGCATGCGCTGGCCAAACATGGCAACGGATGCGGGCAGATGTGTGGGCCCTTAGCGAACCCGGTTTTCAACAAAGTTCTAGGGCCAGATCACGCCTAAATCTGCACGCAAGCCAGTCACAGGCTGCTTCCACACAACAAGGCTGCTTCAATGCCCGACCTGCCCAGGCTGCCCTGAAGCTCAAGCACAGCGCATGGCGGCGCGGAGCCGCCCCGGGGCCTGGTGGGGCTGCGGTTGGGCGCCCAACCAGAGGCCATCAGCAGGCGGCCCATTGATGGTGCCTCCGCCGCAGCCCATGGGGCGCCCTGCCGCGGCCCCGGCACCCCTGCGTCCGCCGCGCCGCCGCTGCCGCTGACAATCGTAACGCGTGGCGCCTTGCGGCGCTGCTCTTTGGTGGCTGGGGCCTCGGACCCGCCGCGGGTGCTGCCGCGGCGGGCTGCGCCCTGGCTGCGAGCACTGCACTTGGCTGAGGCGCTGGCCACGGCCTCCTCCGGCTCCAGGCTTCGCCTTTTGCCGCGGCCGGCCGTCGCAGGGCCCGCAGGGGGTGCGCGCCGTGGCGGCGGTGGCAGGGCGACGCCGGCGCTCCACACCAGCAGCTGCTCCTGCGCCTGCAGGCGGGGTAGGTCTTGAAGCGGCCGAGCGGGGCGCTCCTGGCTGAACGAATGGGATGGCGCCCACTCTCCCGCTGCTGCGTGCGGCGGGTTGCCTCCGTGCTGCTGCCTGCTCTGGGGGCCCCGGCTGTCCTGCTGCCAGCTGGAAGCCCCGGGCAGCCGCAGCAGCAGCGGCTGGCTAACATTGTCAAGCATAGGGCCTGATGCCACAGCCGTAGGCACGCTGTCAAATATGGAGTCGTGGTAGCCGAGGTTTGGCAGGCTTTCAGCGCGACCCGGACAGTGGGTCTGCAGCGGGTGGCCCGACAGCGGCATCGCGCCCGGCACTGACACGGGCGACGGTGACGGTGTTGGGGCCCAGGTGTCCTGCTGCGAGGCAAGCGCAGAGTGGTCACAGCTGGTAGGCGCCCAAGGGTGGTGCGTCGGGGGTGCTGATGCGGCGCCGTCTCCCGGCAGAGACGCGCGCAGCTGCTCGGCGAATGCTGCGAGCTCGGCGGCTGCCGCGGCGGCAGTCGCGGGCATAGCCACGGCCGCTGCGGCCGGAGGAAAGGCGGTGCACTGCTGCGCAATCGTCTTGATGTTCGGCAGCGGCAGCTGCTGAGGCGCGCCGGGAGCCTGCGCCGCTGACGCCGGCTCGCCCGCAGAGCTGCGGCGCGGCACCGCCGCAGCGCCGCCGCCGCCGCGCCGCTGCCGCGCAGCCATTGCCGAGCGCAGGGCCGGCAGCAGCGCGCGGGAGCCGTGCAGCGCTGCAGCGAGCGCCTCGCTGCGCTGCCGCTGCAGCGCCGATGCATCTTGTGGGCCACACGGACCGGGGGTGGCGTTGGTGGTGTGTGACAGCAACCTCACGGCAGGCTGCCCGGCGCTCTGCTCGGCCTGCCACTGCTGCAGCGGCCCCACCTGCTGGGACTGCCCCAGCTGTGCCTGGCCCGGCTGCTGCGGCTGCTGCCACTGCGGCGGCGGGGCCCAGCCGGCAGCCTGGAAAGGATGCGCCGCTGGCGCGCCAGGGGCCAGGAGCTCCGCTGGCCCAAAGCTCTGGGAGGCCGCGAGCAGCATTTCGTGGGTCAGCGCAGGTGCGGCTGGCTGGGGCCACGTGTTGAGGTTGGAATCATTCACCGCCATCAGGCACCAGGCGTCGGCGGCGAGGGCGGCCGGGCCAGCGGCGGTGGCGGCGGCGGTGGCGGGGGTGGGGCTGTTGAGCAGGGTATATGGGTGCCTGGGTCGTTCAGACGGCGAGGTGGTGAGTGGGAGAGGGGTGGAGGGAGGGATTGTGGATGCTAAGCTGGAGATTTTGGTGCATACAGGTACGCGGAAGTGTATCCAAGAGCTGAGGGCTGACTTCATGGCAGCTACCGGCAGCCAGTTGCACCCAGCTAATTAACTGCACACCCCCACCCGCGCACATGCTGCCTGGAAGTCATCCCGACAGCTGCACCACTCCCCGGCTCTACCCACCACGCCTGCTCCAGCGTGTTGGCGCTGCCGCCGCTGCTGATGTCGCAAGCATGGACCGCCGATGAGCGCGAGTCCTGCGGGGCGTCCGCAGCGGCAGGGCTAGCAGCGGTGGCTCCAGCAGGTGGGGCTGAGGCGGGGGAGTCCTCATTGTCTGACAGGGAGTCACTCAGGTCCTGCATGAGAGACCTGGGGATTCATAGATGGGGGCGCAGGGATGGCCTCATGGGGGGATACGAGAAGATCATCAGTTCGGAGGGTGGACTGTGTACGCGGGCGGCACTGGTCAGATAATGAGCCATGCAGATATGGAGGCAGATATTTCTGGCGGGACAGCTGGCAGAGGGAGTCGCGAGCGCCAGGACGACGAGGCATCACCGCCGACCAAAACGACATCCGCCCCCACTAAGCTGTGTGCAGGAGCATATCTCAGCTTACCAGAGCTCAGAGTCCCCAGAAGCCAGCCTGAGCAGCTCGTCCATGCCCTGCGCCTCCACATCAAGGTCGGCGGCCGAGGCAGCGGGGCCGATGCCAGCTGTCACAAGGTCCATGAGGATAGCTACCTGTTTGCTGAACGGGTTCTTGTGGCGGCCGGCGGCCAGCACGGGCCCGGTGAGGCTATGGGTGGGGCGTGTTGGCCGAGGCAGATCGAGGACTCGGCGTTCGGCTTCAACAGCGAGTCTGCGGAGGTGCGCGGCACTTGGCAATGCTACCCAAAGCCATTGCGATAGTCTAGAGTCTTGGATGCTCTTGATCGCCGCGTTTCAACGGGAGGCGTGCACGAGCACGTTGTTGTGATAATTGGAGGAAATTGATCCTTTCTAACCCTACTGTTGCGAGATGTTCCTTATGGAAAAGCGAAAGGGTGGGTGGGATCAGGGTCCTCGAGCCTGGCGCCAGAAACCCTGCGGGCGCGTTGCATCCGAGGCAAGACTCTGCGGGTGGGGGCTTCATCATCGCCCTGGTCGTTGACACGGATTGACACGCGACCTGCTCACCGCCAAAAGACAACGTCTGCGACGCTTGAAGAAAGCACACAAATGGCGCCTGGCTCACTCTGACACACTGCAAATCGCGGTTGGTGGCCGCGCCCGTAATCATTGCCTCAGGATCTCAGGGATAACAACCAAGCCAGACTGGTAGCCAGACACAAATCATCATCGACGGTGCGAAGCAACCAACATGACGCACCAAAACAAAACGTCGAGACTCAAGTGTTTTAGGCACGTGCATGCCGTTTACATGCTCAGCCAGCAGCAGCAGCCTGGCCAGCGTGCAAGCAGGCGTCGCCCGGCGGGACGATGCCCGGCCTCCCGCAGAGCACCGATCACTCGTCATTGAACATCTCCCAGATGCTCTTGATCGCGCCCCCGATCCC